GACTGTCACATGAGAAAGTTATAACGTAAAAGTAGCACGTTTGTTTAAGAGGATAAAAAAGCAAAGTGATGGCTACGGGACTTGGGAGCAAAAATATGCACCGGCACATTTAACGGCTAACAGTCTGATTATCTTCTGTTGGACGTAGACCGCTACCTAACCCGAACTTACATACCGAAGACGAAGGCAATAAAAAACGGGCCAGAATAGCATAAACCTGACCACTATAATGGCTTTGTAATGACCTTTACACCTACGACACTAAGGAAAACTGGTCGCTGATTGCGGACGCAAGAGATAAGGACAATAATTATGCAACGCCATAGCTCCACGAGAAGTCCGACAACTGAGTCCTTGAAACGGATGCCTATTCACTCATCTATCCGCCTCCTCTGCAGTTCTAGTCAAGTAGCAGCGGAACACGGAAATAAAATGGGTTGAAATTCCTTTTCATACAATGGGAAACACGCATAAATCGAAGGAGATGGATATTCCAGAAAATGACATGCAGAATTTAGCGCACTCAGGGGATGAACGGAAGACGGCGTAGAATTCGCACGTGGGGGAAGCGATTTATTAACAATGTGACGGGCACTGCATACACGTGGCTGTAAGGTCAATTTTCGACACATCTGTTTAACGCATAACACCCTCAGCAACTATCTAAGGCTAACCTACTCCACCTTTGGGCATCAATTCTAGAACATTAACAGACGGGTGCGCAGAAGCGAACAAGAAATAGGCGTTAAGTGCCACCATCTAATAAATGGGAACTGCAATGGTCATCTCTGGCTTATTTGCCATCTGCTGTTTCGTGAGACTGGAGCTAACATACTAGTCAACACCGGTTGCTTAGGGGTGATGGTGGAAAGAGGGGTTGCAATAATTGTAATGACAATGCCGATGACTAAGATGAGAATCTGGGATGCGGAGGAACAGTCAGCCTGATTACTTACCAAAACAAGCCCTCCCAAGTTGGGAAGTATGTACCCTTGAAAAGGGTGTGCTCAAGGATACCTTCAACACCACCCAAGGCCTGAATCATGTCAGTTCGGTAGTTGTTTAAATTCCACAATTTTCCGTCGTGACGCTGGTGAGTCCACCAGAAAGGATTCTGTTTGAGAACTTGGTACTGCTTGAATTCGGTCCGCACACGCCAACCCTTGTCGTAGGCCAGGGTGTGTCGGTCCTTCTGGAATAGGGTGTTGATGCGAGGAATACCACGATCCCAGCTATCTTCCAGATCCTCCAGGGTGAGTCGTCTGTAGAAGTATAACAGATTTAAGATTTAGTGGAATAAAAGTGGCCTCTCACCAGCCGGCGCAGAAGAAATACTTACCTGTTTTGAGCATTAGCTTCTTGTCGTTTCAGTGAGTACTCGGCCCAGACGCTTTGAGAGTCGCGGAACTCAGTCTCCCAAGTCAGGGTGTAGGAATAGATGTTGGGAATAACCTGATCCTCGTTGTGGCTCATACCAGAGCGGAAATGAGTGATACCAACATCGGTCTGTTTCGACCACCGAAGATCAGATTGTGGGATCAAAACATGTCCCATACTCAACATGCCCAAGCCACCAAGTTCCTAAAAGAGAAGAAGAGTTCAGTGTAAATTAACATTCGTTTATGCATAGGCAGGTGTGTCTACCATAGATTATAAATGTTGGTGCAGGTTTCGAGGCAAAAAAAGCGACGTTGGTTACCTTAGGCGTGTAGAAGACAACTGGAGGAAATCGGGCAGGCATCTTGGAATTAAGGCCGATCTTGATACGTGTCTGGATCTTGTTTTCACACTTCACTAGCAAGTCAAGAAGAGGTTCGGTTGAAACTGCGGCCTCACGGAAGTACGTCATTAGACCAATGAGAGCAGTGTTCCACTTGTTCACAATCTTGGTAAAAGTGGTTGAACCGGAGGCCATCAGAATCTGACGTACACGATTGTGGAACTTCTGCATAGACTCTTCGTCTACTCGTAAGTAGCACTGGGCAGTCCGCTCTTTCGTCACCTGTTCGAGAGAAGAGCATACAGTTCAATTTAAAGGACCTATACGCAGGATTAATGCAGGAATAAAATAAAAAAGCTCGTTTTCTTGGCATGCAGACGGAGGCGCGGATAAGGCCGGCTGATGACGACTAATAAGTCAGTAATCATCGTCCCAG